CCCCATCCAACCCCCATCTCATTCCTGACTGACCCCCCCCCAGGACCCCTGCCCCATCCAACCACCCCTTCTCCCTGTCCCCTGACCACCCCCTGAACCCCTGCCCCTGACTGCCCCCTCCGCCCCAGCCAACCCCTCCTCTCATTCTTGACTGCCCCCTAGGAACCCTGCCCCATCCAATCCCCCTGTTCCCCACCCTCTGACCGCTCCGACCTCTATCCACCCCCCGACCCTCTGACCACCGCCCCGAACTCCCCTGCCCTCTATCCAACCTCCCCGATCCCTACCCCCTTACCGTGCTGCCTGGAGCACCGATGGCTGGTGGCGCTACAGCTGCACCGCCCGGCTGGAGCCAGCCATGCCATCGCCACCGCGCAGCACAGAGACCAGGTCAGGCTGGGTGGGTTCTGCAGCTGCGCTGCCCCAGGAGCTCGCAGCCCTGCCACCCAGAGCATTGCGCCAGCGGCGTAGTGAGCTGAGGCTGCAGGGGAGAGGCTGGGGGCGAGCCTCCCGGGCCAGGAGCTCAGATGCCAGGCAGGAGGGTCCCGCGGGCCGTAGTTTGCCCACCTCTGGTCTAGAGAGACTGACTTAAGAGGAAAGATGGAAAGAGCTTAAGGGTGCATAGTTTGGCTGAGAAGGAGAGATGTAACAGCCTACAAAAGGAGCAGAATTATTTAGTGTAAATACATCGAGGCCCTCAAAATCCAAAGGGAAGGGGGTCCCTATTAAAACCTAAAGATGATGGAATCAAGTTGGAGAAATGTAGGCTGAATATCTGGAAATATTTCCTGACAGTTGGATGTTCTCCCAAGCTGTGGTGGTCCACCAGAGAACTGGTGGGAAGCCCAAATAGGACTGGATGAAATGCTAGATATGTTGTGGGGAACACCTTGAATTGGTAGGAGGGACCTAGCCCTCCTCAACCCTTTTCTCTCTAACTTCTGCCTGGCTCTCCTTCCACGATAACCCCTTGCTCATCCATGCTTCCCAAGTGGGCTATGCCGTAAGACGTACACCCAAGATTCTCCAGTGTTTGCATTCCACAAACCACAGTGTGTGAGAGAGAGAGAGAGACTCAGGGATCCATCCACTCTGTCCGTCTGCTACTCCCCACTAGAGCAGGCTGAAAAATGCCAATGAATTTTGTGGAGAATTGGAAACATTTTCTTGCCCCCCCACCCCCTAAATTTCCCCTTAAAGAGTTTCAGGTTTTTCAATAAAACTGAAAACCAAAAATTATTCAGTTTTTGCAAGCCTGTGTGTGTGTGGGTGAGTGGGTGGGTGGGTGGAGCGGAGGGGAGTTAAATGGCTTTTAGTCAAATGTTTCATTTTTCCAAAAACCTGCAAAGTTTTCAGTTCCGATTGTTTGTCCAGAACTGGAATATTTTGACCAACATGACAAGTCTCGTGGAAAAATTTTGTTTCCATTTCTCATCCAAAACGCATTGTGACAACCAAGATGTGGATGAGCGCTAGTTTGCGCATTTTAATTCTGCAGAGGGCTGCTTGGGTGGCTAGCGATGGGCCATGGCCTGGGAGCTGCTGCCTGACGTGACTCAAGCCTTGGAAACACACTCCTTTGCGTTCACATGTGCTAGGAAAAAGGAACAGGTCCCTAATAGTGAAACCTTAACTGAGTGTGGCCTTCAGCAGAAGTCTTCCAAGCTGCTGAGAGCTGTATGCTTTTGGGGACGCCGTGATAGGGCACTTTGCAGCCTGGCCTGAGCTCTCCCTGGACCACATGGGGCACATGGCTCTGCCAGGTCTGGTAGCAGGGTGCTGGTGGGGAAGGGAGAAGTAGGCTTTCTGCCAGATCCTCTCACCTTGGCAGTAGTGCTGGAGGGGGAAGTAAGTTACAGCCAGACTCCTGCCTCCAGCAGCCTGGGAATCCCTAGGGACCCAGTGTTTTCTGTTCTCTTGCTTGAGCCCCGGCATATAGGCTGGATCTTGGCTTTAGTCCTGCTGTCAAACATCTGGCTCCAATACACTTCAGTGTATGTTTGTTATCATAGTCTAACAGCTCCAGCAGATGCAAAGTTTCCAGAAGTTGCTGCTGCTTTACACAGTTCTTAAACATTGGCTACATATAGAGGATGTTTGTCTTGCTCCACTTCTCCTTAGGATTGCTATCTGCAGCTGTAGGTGAGAGCCCTTCGCCAAAGCTGCGTCTTCATTGCCCCTCGTGAGCTTGATGCAAATGCTTAGGGCCGTGTTTTCAGACATCCGGCTTCCCTCGTTAGTGCGCCATCACTTGTGCCTGGAGAGCCAAACGATGCTAATTGAAGGAGCGTGGGTCTCGTTTACCGTTTGTAAGGGTGAGTGACCATGACAATTGTGGGTTGCGGGGGTGAGCATACGAAGTGGTGAGTTGTGCAGAGACAGCTGTGGCCCTTGGCCCGTAGGTCAGCTCAGGGACACCAGAACACAAGTAACATTTCCAGTTACAAGTCTATTGACTACTTCACGGCTACAGGCTGCTCCTGAGCTTTGTAGATAGTTCACGTTTATTTCCCAGGGTTCCCCAAACGTCTTAGATAACAGCTGCTGTGCTAAAATATCCCCATTCTCCAGGTCCTTGCCATGCAAACCGCCCCCCACCTTCTACTGTGCTCTGTGCATAAGGGTCTGTGTGCACTGCATCGGGCCGGGGGAGAGACTGCAGCTCGAATGGATGGACCCGAGCTAACGTTCATCTAGCTACTTGGATACCAGAGCAATGAAGCTGGGGTCAGTTCAGGCGCCACCGTGGGCTGGCTGCACAAGTAATTACCCTTGGTTCCAGGTGGGTTTGTACAGTCTGGGCTGAAGCCCGGGCTGCTGCAGCTTCACAGGTACCAGAGCGAGCTAGATTGAAGCTAGTTTGCTTTGCAGGCTACATGAGCTACAGTCACACCCACTGATTGCAACACAGGCTTTCCCTGTGAGAATGCCTTGGGCTGTAGTGAAATTAATGGCCACCTCCCACTATGTGCCTTTAAATCTCCAGGCTCCTCCTTCCCATTGTTGGGGTGTACAGCAAAATCTCGGAGGGGACCTTGATGCATTTCAGAAATGTGGCTGAACTGAGCCTGCCCTGTGAAGCTAGGTCAGTATCATTGCACCTATTTCACAGAGGGGAAAGCGGAGGTCACGTTAAGCGGCT